GATCTTGCTAAGATCTTATAAAAAATTGTTTCCAAGATCATGTTGGATCACAGTTAATTCTTAGCATCATGATCATACAAGATCACGCATTATCTTTGTTCCAAATCCCCGTAAGATCTTGCTAAGATCTTATAAAAAATTGTTTCCGGGATCATGTTGGATCACAATTAATTCTTAGCATCATGATCATACAAGATCACGCATTATCTTTGTTCCAAATACCCAGAAGATCTTGCAAAAAAAAACCTAAGATTCATGCATGATCTTGAAGAGAAATCATGCAAGATCTTGCTGGGATTTTTTACTAGGGCACCCATTTTAATAAAATTATTGGTGTTCAGCCCCCCCAAAATTAATTATGTTCCGCCGCCTATGTGTACATGTATCCATTTCACAGACCATAGGGGTAGGAACAGGGGGGGGCAGGAGGGGCTTAAGCCCCCCAACTTTCATTGAAGGAGGGCTTAGCCCCTCCAACTTTAAGTGATATACATGTATTACTATTATCAACACTATAGACTTTAGTTTAGGTAATCCTTATATGTGTGTATATTGTGTGATGATTCGTTTCATAAAACAATTAATGCACTAGCTAACTTCTAAGAACACACACTAGTTTTTTCAGAAATACACAAGCTTCTACTTTTTTATTTAACAACTCTGTTAACATTAGCTTCAGCTGAGCGTAGATTTTCGACGTTAAGGAGATTAAAAAACTACTTGCGCTCCACAATGTCACAAGAGCGTCTTAATTATGTAGTTATTTTGCATACACATAAAGAATTTATGGACAATTTATACATTAAGGACATTGCAAAGGAATTTGTTACATTTAATGAGCATAGACGCCAGTATTTTGGACAATATTAATTTCAGCACAATGATCAATTGTTAAATCATGCTCCTATGATTGCCAATAAATAATACCTTAGCCCCCCAACTTTTAGTTTGTTCCTACCCCTATGTCACAGACCATGAGACGGACATGATGGTATTACAATCATCATCAAGAACACATCATTTTATAACTGCATGGAAAGAGAGAGAAGAAAATTGAGGTTGAACAAAGCACAAAATGAACCTTTCATGAAAATAAATGGTCTAACTTTGAGGGTATAGTCAAAAAAACCATTATAGGTGCTCATAACTAGAAAATTATTTATTGGAAACAGCTCAAACTTTCTATACAGCAAAAAGACATCAATATGTATCAATAAATGTAATAAAAATTAAGGTAAAGTTCAAAGCCATTTTTTGGAAAAAAATATGGTTCATTTTTTGCTTTTTTTTTCAAAAATTGACTCATAAAAATGCTTATAACTCTAAATTTATTTATCATAAACAGGTCAAACTTTCTACATGTACATAGCATAAAGACATAATATGTATCAGGAAATGTAATAAAAATTGCATGGGGGGCGATTATAAAATTAAAAAAAGAAATTGTAAACTCACTATAATCATTTTCTCCTGACACCAGTTGCTGATAATTTGGTGATCAGTGAATCACACAGACCTCCTGGGTGGGGTCTAATAGTCTCCAGGTAGATGTGGGGTGGGTCCCACTGTAATATTGACCCACTACATCACCGGTCCATGACAGGGAACCTCTGAAAGAGACAGTATAATTGAATTCAATTATTTTGAGGGTTACTGACAAAATATTGGACTCTTTGATAGACTTTTTGTCAAATATAAGGTGTGAAACATTTTTGCATATAATTTTAAAGCAGTCTTTCCAAAAATAAGCTTCACCAAAATTTCCCAATATTGGCACAAGGCCACTTCGAGTAGATCACATGTTCTAAAACTATATAAATCTATATTCTTGTAAACAATTGCATTATTCTCTTTCATTACATTCATGCTTGTGCCCCAAGGCTCTGCATTCACTGTGTGCATACATTCACCGGCACATCCAGTCATAAAGCATTAAGTAATGCACATGAAGATAATTCGATGCATTTTCCTCTGTACATAGATCTATGGGGGGAAATTGGCCGAGAGTTTTATTTTGGCAATTGGTAGATTAATCTGATAAAATTGCCAAAATAAACCTGCCCTTTTGCTTACTGAATTTTGAGCAAGCAACAAATTGAGCAATTTAAAACCACCAGTCATAAAATCATCAAACACTGCAAATTTTTCCCACTAGATCTAGATACACACATGTGCATACATAGATATATCTCCGGTTCATGAAGGAGCTCTTCCTCTCCACTGACACACATAATTGCTCTCGACAGGCTCCTGGAAAGAGTCGGGGAAAGAAACAGAAGAGGGAGAGAAATGAATTAAAATCTAGTAGACTATAGATCTCGCTATAGATAGATCTCGCTATAGATAGATCTAGATGTAGAGTTTATGAAGGGGTGTGGCTGGTAAAAAAATGATGTTCTGGCTATTTCTTTTGGCACAACATGTGGCAGTATTATCAGGCCAACAATCTGGTTTTCTTCCCCTTCATTCAGCTACAGGTCAGTCTTCCTCACTTAACATTTTCAGTGCCAAGGTCTGGAGCTCAGTATCTAGTATTTAAAAACAATTTAAGCTCCTCCACTGCACTGTCCCTTCTGATTAAACTGAACTACTTAAGTAGTACCTTTTATTGATTTTAATTAGCTTATCCTGTTCCTAATATCACATTTACAACTGCTACTGGTAGATCACTCGGAGAGAGTTTAACATTTAACTGTACAGTTGATGTGCTAGATGGACTATACAATATTAATGTGAATATCAGTATAAAGAAGAATGAAAGACTCGTGGCCAGTGCTACTGGAACTGGTGATACTACAGCAATGATTACAATTGATTCATTAAGGGTGTCTGATGCTGGAGACTATCAATGCATTGTTAATATCACTCAACCTGATATAGACTATGAGTTTAATGGTATTGAGTCTACCAAAGTGATACTAACATGTATGTTGAAATAGTTGAATTAATGTTTTATGTATGTATTGTTTTGTAGTACCAACTCCTTCAGTTGTTGTTGAGTATAATGCTACTAGACATTTAGTAGATGGAAAACTAGCAGAAGGACAGTTTCTTGATATTATATGTATAGCTGACATCAGTCAGTATATTGATACTAGTGTTAGTATTACTATGAGTTGGAGGAGAGATAACACTGTACTGACCAATGGAAGTGATTTTACTATCAGTCCTCCTGTTATGACTAATAATCAGTACATTGGTGTGTTACATATTAATAGTTTAAGAGATGAGCGTGATAATGGTGCTAGTTACAATTGTTCGGTTAGTGTGACTCCTAATACTCCTTTTATAATAGCAGGGAATGATAATAGCAGTGCAGTTACATTTACTGTAGCAAGTAAATAAATTAATATGTATTATTATTTTCATTTGTATTCTAATAGGGTTTGATATCAATCATGTTGATATAAGTATCTGTATTCCTTCTGTTCCTGTTGCTGGTGATTTATTTAATCTATCTTGTGTTATAGTTGTACCTCCTAATTTTGTTAAGAGCCTTACTAGTGTTAGATGGACTTGTGATTTAGAAGCATCTCAAGATGTGACTAGTGAAAACAATGATGCTACACTAGTACCTGTTGTTAGAAATGGAAATATATTCACCAGTGTACTTATGCTTGATCCAGTGAAGACAACAGATGCTAGACGATATTACTGTCAAGCAACAATTCTAGTATTTGGTAGTGTAGATCGTACTGACAAAGATATATCTGTTCAAAGTTTGTTATCATTATTATTTGAAATAATATATAATTTTTCTTTTTATAGTATCTTCTCCCAGTGTATCAATAGTTGCTGATCCTCCAACTGGTCCAATATATGAGAGTACGGGTTATTCACTAACCTGTACAGCTAGAGTAAACACTACAATAGTTAATACACCAGTAACTGCTAGTGTCGTATGGACTGATCCTAGAGGTAATGTGATACCAACTAATGATGCAAGACGTCAAGTAATACCTCCAACTGGTGACAATAATTATTTTGTAAGCATGCTATTGTTTCAACCTATTGATACTGGTCGTAATAATGATGAAGGAACATATACTTGTCAAATGATCATTGATTCTGGTAACTCATTAATAGCATCAAGTCAGCCCACTAATGCCACTCTTGCTGTTACTCTTGAAAGTGAGATTTATTTTGTACTACAGTACTGCTCTTCCCTTGTCTACTCTTGTCTCCTCTCTGTCACACATACAAATCATCTTCCTACTTATACCCTGTCTTTTTTCTTTATCAGGTCTTCCTTTAATGACAGTAAATTTTTCATCAGTTGGTTCAATTGAAGTTGGTCAGAGTCTAACTATAACATGTACCATAGAAACAGTTGAGAGATTAGTAGTAACACCATTGATTACTTTCATGAAAATGAATGATACAGAAGTGCTCCCTAATTTGAATATGCAATACACTATCACAACAGATGACACTGGTTCAATAACTAACTATACTCTAATATTGGATCCAGTGAGGTTTGAAGACGCTGGAATGTATGCATGTATGGCTGAGTTTAATGTAACTGGTTTTAATAATACCAATGATCCAAACACTGCTACTTATGATTATCAAGAGGCTAGTGATGTCTTTAATTTGATTCTTGACTGTAAGTTACTGTATAGTACTGCACTATATTATGCTTGCTAAATATTTTTACCTCCTTACAGTCCCACCAGTGGTTGTTACTATGTCAAAGGAACATGATGATAGATTATATGCAGGGACATCATTCTTCATTAAATGTGACATACTGTTAGATCCATTAGTCACTATACCAGTGACTGTCACTAATCAATGGACACGTGATGACACTAATGTTCCTATGGGTTCATCTGATGCTACTATTACTGAGAGTCTCAATGTGATCAGTGCATTACATTTTAGTGCAACATTAATGTTCTATCCATTGGATAATGCTGATGATAGTGGAATGTATACTTGTAATGTTGAAGTGACTGCTCCTAATAGTTACATATATATCAAGAATCCATCGTCCAATGCTAATATTACCATTACAGTTATTGGTAAGTATATACTTATGATTAGTCATCATATCATAGGCATGCAGTTATTATAATCTTTTGTAATGATTTCTATACTTGCATGCCTGTTACCAGTACTTTTTTTTATAAAGTCCAGTCTTTTTTCATACCAGATCATTTTCTATTTTTTTCTTTCTCTTTCAATTCTTTTCTACCTCATACAGCTACTCCAAGGCCAGCAGTAGAGATAGTGACTATGGGTATGGCTAAACTTGGTGAAGAATACATGTTAAATTGTACAGTCACAGTTGTTGATAGACTCATAGTCTCACCAATAATGTTATGGACTAAAAAATCAGCTAATAATGTTATTAGCATACCCCCAGTTTTGAAGAATGTATCTAAAGTAAAAAGTTCTCTTAATTTGATATTTCGTTCTCTTAATACTTCTGATGCTGGTCTATATACTTGTGAGGCTTCCATTAATGTTATTCAAATATCTGTAGTAACAAGGAGTAATGAATTTTCAAGCATAGTGTTACAAAGTAATTCTACATTCAATGCATGCCATGCCCACTTATTATTATTTTTATAATTTTAGTTCCTATTCCATTTGCTAACATAAGCCAATCAAGAATTAGTAATTTCTTAGCTGGCAGTAACCTGATATTAACATGTGATATCAGTGTTGATCCTAATGTTGATACACCATTCACTGTTAATTTAACCTGGAACATGACTGATCAACAAATTATGAATAACAGTGATATGGGAAACAATGGTCACCCTGATTCAATGATGCTTGCTGACACTGATCGTGTTAATATCAGCTCCATTAAAATGAGATCAGGTTTCAATGAGTATAAATCAACTGTTAATTTTACTACATTGAGCAGTACTGAGGACTCAGGAACATATACTTGTATTGTTACTATAGTACCAGCTATAGCTTATGAATACCAATATGTTATGACTTCTGATACTATTTATGTGAATAGTAGCTTCACTGTTACTGGTAAGTATATATATATTTTGTATTTATGTACTGTATAATTACATACCATACATGTAAACCATGGTTCCAAAGTGTATCAGTAATGTAAGGTTTAAGCCCCAAAATGTTTGCCCGAATCAAAGCTGAAGGCGGACATTAAGGGGTGAAGGTCCTACATTATGCATTATACTAATGCTCACTGAGAAACCATAACTATATTAATTTACATGTATGCATATATTTGATATCTATCAATAAGTAAGGTTGATTTTAATTTTCTTCTTTGGTAGATTTAACAATTGGAGGGTTATCTGCTTCTCCTGACTCATTTCTTGGTCTAGAAACATCATGTCTTGACTCAAACCCATATGATAACTTCACTCTTACTTGTACAGCCACTAAACCAACCATAGTAATACCAAACCTAGTAGTAGCATGGACACATAATGGTACAATAGTAACTGGTGCTGTGACTACTACACATATGGTAGAGAATACTACGACTACAACTGTTACTAATGCATTGAGTTTCTCCAACAGTAGATCTTCTGATTCTGGTACTTATAGATGTACTGCTAGTATTGCTATACCTGATTCAACTAATATCACTACTAATGAGGAAAGTACTGTGACTATAAGATGTAAGTGAAAGATTAGCTGCATACAATGTATCTTTTTTAAAAAATACAGCTCAGAGCTTACCTGTTCCTGCTACTAATGTAACAGCTACTCCAGGAGCAACTACTGCTGCTCTATCATTTATAATACCTAACATTGCCTATACACCTGAAACCTACAGTGTTAAGTATACTGGAGCAATTTTACAAACAACTGAAGCAACTTCCATCATAAAAAAGAGTTCCAGTAACATTAGTGCAATTAATACAGAATTTATGATCATGTTGACTGGCCTTGAGGAAGATAACACTTATGCATATACAGTTGATTCTATCAATTGTCTTGGTACTACTAGTACTGCAGAGATGAGCTTTAGAACACTTCCAACATGTAAGTAGAAATTGATACTTATAATCATTATTAATTTTGTTTGTTTATTTTCTGATTATACAGTACCAGCTGCTTCTCCAATGGATTGTGCTAATATAACATTCTTACCCAGTAATGTCACACTTACCTGGATTGCACCAGCACTAAGAGATCAAAATGGAGCACCAGTTGGTTATAATTTAACCTGCATAAATAATAATGGTGTATCAGTTAATAAATTAAATGCAACACAAACTTCAATGAGCACATCTTTCACTATTACTGATGTTATGCCTTTTACTGCCTACACTTGTGATCTATCATTTATTAATGTAATAGGACAAGGACCCTCTACCCAGTGTACTTTTCAAACAGCTCGAAATTGTAAGTGTATAATAATATTCCTTTAAAATTATGAATTATTTTGTTGCAGTGTCATATGACTCTCCTAAAAATTTTACTTCCATTCCTGATCAAAAATCTGTCTTATTTTCATGGATGAAACCAACCAGTACTAACAGAGTTATTATTAGTTATAATTTAACAGTAACTAACTTGGATGAATCTAAATTGGTTACTTTCATTATTGAATTAAATTCTGATGAAAGAAAAACACACAAAATTGTTGATGGCTTCAGTCCATATCAGAATTACACTGCTAGTGTCAGTGCTAGCACAATCAATGGAGCTGGACCAGTGGCTATTACTGAAGGAAGAACACTACCAGACCGTAAGTATGTTGTTTATGGTACAATTATTAAAATACAATGCACAGTTCCTAGTTCACCTCATCTAATAGTGACTCCAGTTGCCATTAATGGTTTGACAATAGCTTATACTGTACCAGTTCTAAATGAAACTACTATCAATGTAACATGGAGTCCACCATCTCATCCTAATGGAGATATTACTGGATTTATTGTTAGAATAGCTACTGATGCAATTACTAGTTCTAATAATGTTGCATTTGCCCATGGGAAAGCATTATACACACTAATATATGGAGGATTAAGTTAGTATAGATTTTTCAATTATTATTATAATCACTTTTATTTTATAGAGGCAAGAGTACCTTATTATATTTCAGTTGTAGCAGTCAATCAAGTTGGTGTAAAAAACTCAGCAACTGCTATTGCATTTACTAAAGCCGACAGTACAATATTTTCATAAATTAATTTATATTTATTGTCATTTTATGTGCAGGTAGTGTTACAGTATCACCATCTAATGTACAAGCAATGAGAATAGGAGATACAATAGTGTTATCATGGGATCCAGTGACATTAGAAGAAGCTAAAGGATTCTTTGTATACAGTATCAGATTAACTCCTCATGATGGTAGCAGTAGCAGTGCATCAAGACAAACTAATACAAGAACTACATCAGCAGCTTATGATACCACATCAGTTAATATAACTGATACCAAACCACAGTTAGCTTATACTGTGAGTATTAGTGTATTACTATTGACTCATGTGGGACTAATAGAAGGGCCTGCATTTTACATTTCTCTAACAAGTAAGATACATTTTATTCAGGTAGTCTAGCTGTGATACTTTTTTAAATAAATTCCATTATTGGTCTTTTTGCTACAGTGTCACCTACTGATGGAGGTAGTACTGATCAGGGTGATGCTGTTTTAACAATAGTAATGGTGGTATCAATGTTAATCATAATTTTGTTGCTGGTAGTTGTGTGTATTATTATAGTAGCATTGCACAGGAAAAAGTTCAAAAAGTGTAAGATAAGGTAATTAAAATTTGTTGTGTTAAGCTATACATATTTTTTATATTTGTGGCATTGTTATAATAGCAGAACTAATGAAGGATATAGCTTAATGGCTATTACTCATGCATCTGTAGCACAGTAAGAATAATAATCTTAAACATTTGTATTGGTTTTATCATAATTTTCAATAGAAACAATGTCGAAAGGATCAATGAATATTTATATGAACCAACAAACGATGAAGCTGTGCTACAAGAGGAAGAGGAAACTCCAGTTGTAGGAGATAGTGTTGATGTGATACCAATAGCCAGTTGCAGTCCTGTATATGATACTAGTCCTATTACTGGTCCAGGTATATACTTATATATTCTAATTTAATTTTATGTACACCATAAAGCACTTCCTTCACATGGTATGTCTTTATTGTCTTTTTAGATCCTAGCCTCAATCAAGGAGAGAATGAAAGGAGAGAGAATGAAGAGTATGAAAACATGCTTTAAACATTTTTGTTGCTTTATTTAAAGTAATAATTTTAGCCTTGAGGTTTGTGTGCAGTAATGAAACTAATTTACATGTAGATAGCAAACTATAGTTAATTTTTAATTATTGTATCTGCATTTGTGCAAGCCAATTATACTATTCATAATGTAAAATTTTGATTACTCATAGTTGCATTTTTTAATTATTGCATTTAAGAGTGACAAGCAAGTCATTTCAAGGGAAGAATTTTAAGATCATTTGGACCATGTTAATACATGTTTGTCAAGAACTACAAGCTTAAGCACGGTCTTACTCTTTGACACATTTTTAATTAGCTGAGTATTTACTTTTAGTGTTCCAAAAATAGTTATAGCCACATGCCCTCCCTATAAACTCATACGATAATGACAAATCGACTCATATACCCTTGCCCATACGCCTACGCGTGGCAAGGGTAATAATCCTAATTCCTATTACTCCAGTACCATGTAAATGTAGTTTTTACTATCACAGTACCCAATACGACTGCTCATACCAATTTCTATTTTTGTCTCATGGCTCCCAACAAGAACTTTTAGATAAAAAATGTTTCTTAACAAATATAAAATTAATACAAAAGTAGTTATTGCTGTGGCACACAGGAATTTTCATTAAGTACTCATGTACTATAGGCAATTCTGTCTCTGATATATTCTATTAAACTTGCATGCTAATATAGCTGGCCTTGATTTATGAAATGAATCACCTCTTACAGTAGTTTTAAGTGTTTACAGAAAAGAGACCATAAAAACTATAGAATTTTACAGCGCTAATTGGGGAGGTTATACTCTGCTTATAATCAAATTACATAGCACCAATTAAATGTATTACACATTGTCAAAATTAAAGTTCTATTAATTTATACAATAATAGATCTGTACTTTAGCCATTACATGCACCAGTCCCAGTTAGGGTGGTACCTAGATATGTCATTTTTGCTAAGATCAAGCATCATTAAAGACCTCATCTTAAAAACCCCATCAACATTTAGGAAAGATACTTGATTGTCACTGACCAGTATAATGTCTCAAGACTAGGGCAGTCATAAATCTGGTAGTGAGAAAAAACAATTGAGTATTATACAATTATGATAGAACGTACAAATTAACTGGGGGCTAGAGCAAAAGGAGAGAGATGAATGCAATTCATTTTAATGATTCTTTCTATCAGAGAGTTAGAGAGAAACATATATAACTCATTACAAAAAATTTAAAATAGAGGCAATACACGCACATGTACACGTAACACAAGTGTAGGGTTTCCCACAGGATTTTGGCATGGTGCACAGGCAACTCAGCTTCTTTTCAGTACATTTTAAAGTTGCTCAAAATCTGGCCATAGACATGTAGGTCAAATATCACTATGAGAGAAATCTCCATTTTTGTATTTTTTCTGATGCACATACAATGTTATGTTAATCGAAATTTGGCTAAATATCCTGTACCAAGAGTAAATAATAATAATTATTATTACTAGACGAATGTAAAAGATTGAAGGGGCGAGCCTCAGCAAGGAAAGCAATGTACATACAATAGATCTTGACAGACTAACAATGTTCATGCATGATGATGATTATGCAATTGCATGCATGAGCAGGCTCACAACTTAATGGATGTAGTCCTTGAATAATTCTTCTATAGAAAGTAGATGGAGGAAGAGAGAGAGGATCAAGAGAGAAAGAATGAAATGACATCATGAGAAGTAACATGACTTGCCCTCTTTGATGAAAAGGAGCATACATTGGGTATCCCATAAGAACAGTATAAACAGTACACCATAACCTAATGATAACAATAAACAATGTATCATGTAATAAGTAAAAGAAAAATTAATTAAGAATAGGAAAAAGAGGAGTAACAGTATGATGGGAAGAGTTTAATAAGAGATAGAGACAAATTACTTGATTTGGTTAAGGTCTTCAGTAGCACTATAACTAATACAGTACTAATAAGAGAGAGATAGCTACTAAGGAGGGGGAGGTATTGTAAGTATAGTAAGGACTAAGGAGCTGGGAGGAGTAAGCCATGACAACCACTATCCCTGTCAACAAATCAGTCTGCCAGACTGCCAGTGTCCAGTATTGAGTGCATGAATTAGTGGAAGAGGATGAGTATAAGTGATATGGAGTGGTAGGTGGTTCTGTATAAAGAGACTGAGGGAGAGGAGGGAGAGAGAATGAGTGACAAGTGAGAATAGAAGGAAGGAGAAGTAATGGAATTTTAATAAAGAGAAAGGAAAGGAAAAGGTGACTGATTGTAAACGAACAAAATATTTGTAACAGTTAGCTGCTACTAAAGTGAAAATAGAATACAGTGTATACATAATAATGTACATAACATTATAGTATAAATGCTATGGATAACATCAATTTACACACATATAAACATTAGTCTAATACATGTACATCACATGGCTACAGTAACACAATTTCAATCAATCATGATAGCCGTGCTTTCTTCATAACATAAGTGTTAGTAGTGCACAAAGCTGCATGGTATAGGCATTGTGGGCATTTGGTAATGGTGTACTGACATTGTCTGGAAGTTGATAACATCAACATGCATAGATATTTTCTAATTGGCTATACAAAGAGATCAACAAAACAAATTTAATTTTCAAAAATTTTACATTAGCTAGACTATCACTATTGTTCCACATGTCTCTAGTAAGAATGCATACTCTAGGTACTACTTTAATTTTACTTCTAATACCAGTTTTTGGGCAGGAGAGATGGAAGGGAGGTGAAGCTCCTAGCTAAACAGTTTTTTGCATGGGGTCCATTTAAGTTTGGTTCCAAATACACAGTAATAGAAGTTACATGTATTTGTACTAGTGTATTATTAGTTTAGTTACTATCTTTCAATCCACTGAAGAATGAGATGAGAGATCTGATAATACTTAACAGTAAATAATTCAAAAAATAAACCTACAGCGACAAAAAGCATATCATCAATAATAATAATAATAAAACATAAAAAATTCCTCTCTTCAAAATTACCACATGAATCAAATGCATATACATGCAACTATGCAAGTAACTTAAACTTTTTCAGGTGAATTCAGTCGTGGTATCATGAGATTACGGTTTAATGGGCCTCTTCAAGTAATGATGGAAGAGAGCAAAATACACAAGCCATGCAACCAACTATTAACAATCTAGTGTACACATCAATACTGTACTATTAATTGCATGCCTGTTTACTTTGGACACAACTCACATAGTAACACTTCCATCAAATGCTGAAGCCCAAACTTTCATAAAATGCTCTTACTGCTACAATTAACACTATAGAATCAGTAAGCTAGTAACAAACCAACAAAATTAACCAATTCAGGAGGAGCAAACCTGTTCCGTTTTTAACAATCACATGTCACTGTATACCTGTGGAAACATACACATGTAAATCTAATCATGTGACCCAACCATGCAACAATGATAGATCATAAAAGGGGAAAGAGACAAGCATGTAAATTATCACTAAAAACTGCTTAATGTTAAAAAGTATTTAAATGACAAAGAATAACAATCAATAAGAAATAATTTTAAAGAATATAAAATTGTAGCACACGACAGCCTAAAATTATTACTATAATTAAAAAATTAGAAGACAGCTATTTTTATTATCACAAACATACAAGAATCCATCCTTATCAAATGATATTCCATAAGGATTGTTAAACTGTTTGCCTTCCCTAACAAAGCTGTTAACAAAGACACCCTCACAGGTAAATATTGAGATGCGGCTCTTGCCCCATTCACTAACATATACCAGACCAGTAGCTGCAGTGTCTATTGCTATACCTGTTGGCTTATCAAGTTCTCCGAGACCAGACTCATTGCTACCAAACTGAGTCACAAAATTTCCTTCTGGAGTGAACTTCTGAATGATATTGTTCAAAGTATCAGCAACATATACCCATCCTTCACTGTCAACAGCAACGTCACATGGAGACTGGAACTGACCACTAGCTGATCCTTTACTCCCAAATAAATGAGAAAATGTTAGGTCAGCATTCAAGACTTGTATACGATGATTATTCCAATCAGCAACATAAACTTGTCCTGTTTTTGGAGAAATGGCTATACCATCAGGAACATTGAATTGTAATGGTCCATTGCCTTTTTCACCAACAGATGCTACAAGGTATCCATCCATGCTTATCTTTTGGATCTTATGATTATCAGAAACCAAAATGAATTGATCTGAAGTAATGGCTACACCACGAGGTGAAGAAAACTTAACATTACCACTTCCTCCTCTTCCTCCTAATGATTTCATTTTCTTTCCAGCTCTATCCAGTATTGCTACACAGTGTCCATTAAACATAGTTATTACAGCTTGATTATCTTCATTTACAGCAACTCCCCAGGGGCCTTTAAGCTCAGCTATAGCAAATACTGGAGCTACACTATCAAGGTAAGGATTGATAGGGATGACTAGTGAGGTATCTCCAAGTTGTAGACCATACACTTGTACTTTCACTGTATGAGTACCACGTGTTGAAAGGTTGCACTGAATCCTATACACTCCAGGATCAGTGCTGGTGGTGACTGTAGTGTGAATGGGTTGATCACATTTACCAACTGGTACTAGACTGCAGCTGATGGAAGAGAGGGGAACAGACAAAAGAGATGAATCTGGTGCCACTAATGATAGTGAAAATGAAACCGATTTTTCTGCAGTTCTAATACAATCATTAATCTTCTTCACTTGACTTTTTTCTAGTGCAGTAGATGAGTGAGACAAAATATCTCCAATGTGATGTAGTGATTTGATATCTTTACTTAATTCAAAGTCAGTTTTTTCCATTGGATGTAGCTCCTCCATATTGATCCCTGCAGTAACTTCACTCATACGCTCTATCATCTGCTTCTCCAACCCTAGAACTTGTTGATGGCTACCTGTTTTCAAAATGTTGTCCACAGAACTCTCAATCTCCTCCAGAAGACTCAAGCTCCTTTCTGCAGATTTCATCTGCTCTGTAAGCACCTTCAGCCTAGCATCAATAACCCTCTTTGCTTGCTCAGTCAGTTTCCTCTCTGACTGACGAAGAACATTCATCATTTCCTCTACCATTTGATGTATTTCTTTTAAGACTCCTTGTCCTCTCTCTCTGACTTCACTCTCTCTCTCTGCTAGAGCAGATAGTACCTTCTCGAGTGCTTCCTTCTTCCTCCCAACTGGTGATAGACATTCTCTTAACTTTTGACAGTGTTTAGTATAACTGTCAGTGATTAATTCATATTCATGATGCTTGTGATCATGAGCCAAGCATGTAACGCAGATTACTTTATTACATGCTTCACAAAAAAGCTCCAAAGGTCTTCCATGGTCACTACATATGTCTTCTTGAGGATTTGGCAAAACTGCTGTCTTCTTCATTAAACTATACATCTCTTTGAGGTTGTTGAGATAAAATGCTACAGGAAAGGATACCACACCTTCTTTTGGTAACTCTGTACAATAACGGCAAGTGGGACAAGAGAGGTAATAGGTCTCATTTTTCTTTTCCAGAGGTAATCCCTCCAGACAGTGCTGACAGAATGAATGTAGACAAGGTAAAGTCTTAGGGTTGGTATAGTGGTCAAGACACACAGGACAAGTGAGTTGTTCCTCTAGTTTGAGGACACAAGGAGACGATTGCTCGGTAGTCATTATTTGCAAAATAGAATCAGGGGTAAATGACAAGAACAAAAAGTTAAAACAAGTGAGAAACAAGAAGTGAAACGAGGACGAAAGGAGGAAGTCAAAAATGAGAGAAAGACAACCCTGATAACATGAAGTATGCACTGTAGTTATGATAGTTATGAAAAGAGTTACCATAATACATAATAGTATAGTCAGTAGTAACTCTTTATCCTTTATCAGTAAGATATTAACAGTATACACTGTACAGATGTGTACTTGCATTATCACTAAGCAATACATGATCAGTTGCATATAGAGTCTACTGCTCTCACAACAAAAGACTCATTACATCAGTTATAAAAGCTTTCAGTTTATTTAGTCTAGTCTTGTGATTAAAGAAAGTTATGATAGCTATATTCTACATGTACTCCCACTTCTTACTTGGGCAATCTTAATTCAAAGAAAAGATTCACTAGAAAGTACATGTTTCAAAAAATTATTAACCACATAATCACCAATATATTTTAAATTTTACATGTACTTGTACGTTAGTTTGTGCCTGAAGTCTTCTTTGCCTTTCTCCACACAGTAAACTGCATGAGTGCCTGCCTTTTAAGGTGGCAAAACAGGTGGCATGAGCAGTTGAGCACTACTAGGAACAAGCATACAAATACTGGGGAGACAGAGAAATGGATCCAGTAACTACTTGTAATTAACTAAGAAGAGAGAATGAAAGTAGATACGAGTAAATAAATCCTCCTGTTCTCTTTATCTTACAAGTACATGCCTACATGTACTTTCAACCAACTTCATCCCTGTAACTAGAGCTGCCATGCACAGATGTAGTATCAAGGCAAAAAATGGAGAGCTCAGTAAACTACACCTAACCTAATACAAATTATACAATAGGCTATTAAGTGGTTGCCACAGCTAGTACATGTATGTTAAGATTTTATGGTATGTATTGTACATGTAAATGTGAAGAGTAATCGTATAGCTAAATCCTCAGTATTTTACCTTAATTTGATTTATTAAAGTCAGCAAAACAAGAAAGGCATCAAAATAGTTTCAAAAATTAATAGTATGGATCAATCTCATTTGCCAGTGTTTTAATCTTTTCTAAATCTAAATGAGGACCCAATTCCAATAGCTTGCGTGCAAAGATGCGTCTAGGCTCTTTAACTGTTTGGTTTTTTTCCTTCCATGCTATGAAGATCTTTGTTAATAGTGTCGCATCTAACACAGCTCCTTTTGGGCTATCATATACTGGAAAAACTTTATGAACCTGATTAATTTCAAGTTGACGAAGTGATGTAATCTCTTTTGCAATAGTAGCCAGTTCAGTAATTTCTAATTCTGAAATAAAAGGGAAGGACAATAGTGTAAAAACATCTACACATAGCATGCAAAATTACCTTTTGTTTGCAGAAATTCGACACTTTCTTTCCTCAGTGCATTGTTCCAGTCTTTTAGCAACTTTTCATTAGCTCTACCAGCTGTTTTACACTTTAAGCATAACTCATCATCTGGAAGAATGTGATAATTAAGTGAAGGCAATGACTGCATCTTCATTTCATGTGTGTCATTGTCAACACAAAATACAACGAATTTGTATTCAACAGGAAATTTGCAGGTGCTTTTAATATTATGATATGCCTTAATAATACAGGAACTGGTTCCTTCATCTGGCTTGTCGAAGCTAATTCTCATTACAGGGCTGTGAGAAACTAATGTGATTGTCGTGCTTTCATTTTTGATAATGGTCTTTTTAAATTTTTGCAGGGAACTAATTTAGAGTTTGGAAGTAGTCCTAAGATCTGCTTAGTAACAGAGACCTGTTTGAAAACATGTGGTGCGTTAATGCTTGTAATGACATGTATAGAATTGAAATCATGGTCTGTCACGAGTGGGCCAGTACGGCTTAGTGAAACAAAGTAATGCATAGATTGTTGGTCACACTGATAATCGCTAGGCATCTCAATAGAAGGAGCTACCACTCGTGTGGCCAGGTTGAGACATATAAGTGCTTCAGTAAAAGCAGGCCAATCTCCTTGAAATACATTTTTAAATGCTATTTCTGGAATTATTCCATAGCAAATAGTCAGATATTCCTTGTGCATCTGTTTGTTTGGGCAGAGGAAACTGTCAAGCGACCTCAAGAACCCTATTGGCTTGACAATAACATATTGATATTCTGGGTTAATCAAGCTGATATCAAGAATACTTAAAAGAAGTGTAAAACTTGCAGAATTCTTCCAAGCTCATGTCCATGTTGCACTCCTTTGCCAATTTTTTAAGCTCATTCTTCGGGATTACCATTCTGTGTAAGTGATAAAAGAGGCTACGAAGGAAAACCCATGCTAGAGGAATATCATTGTAAGGTGTCTCACAAATAACACTTTGAAACTTCTGATAAAGACGAAGTGAAGAATCATTGTCAACGGAATCATCTAATTTTATTGTTTTGATTTTTTCTTCCAAGAGCGCTGTGACACCAATGTGCTTAGCTGTTGATTGTACTTTCTTCTCAAGTATTTCAATTTTCTCTTGTAACTCTCCATTATATGCACCACTATGCTTAGCAAATATTGTGCAGGCCCTTCTCCTTTGTTTCTTATTGTCTTCAGACTCTTCACTGATTTTGCAAGAACGAAGCAAATAATGAAGACGAGGTCTCCATTTCATAAAAATTGTTCCATCGCCATCTCTTTTCTCTGCATATATGAGTGCATGATATTTTAGGTGGTTCGCCAAGATTTTCAAGATCTCTTTCAAGGTCAAGAAAGAGCCACATGTGAAGATTATATAGATGACCTTGTAGGGCAGCTAGAAAATGGCGCACGGTTTCATTAATGGCAACATCCCAGATATTGATGAGAGCAATACCTTCGGGTAGCATCTTTTTTATTTGCTCAGCATAATCTATTTCCTCGCGACAGAGCTCTTCTTTGCCGCTTTTATGCTTAGGAATAGTCGATTGCTGGCAAAGGTGCTTATAGACAAATTGCAAATGAGCCTCTAAATCGCAATTGTCAAACCCTTTTGCAGCACTTGTTGTATCTAAATCAAACTGCGGTGCTTTTCCTTCTAGCACATTATTTTTAAAAGCAGATAATATTCCAGATACAACACTGGCTTCTTTTGAAACCTCAGTAATGCAAAGGTTCCTTAATGTTGGGGCAAGGCCAACTGCTACTAACTCATAGTATGATATTCCAACAGCTTCAAGACGATCTTCTTTTCTTGTGACTGGATTTAACGGGCTCTTATCAACGTAGCATTCCAAAATATGCTTAACTGCTTTTGTCTTGCCACTTTCTGGTAATCCACTGAAAGAAATCAAGACCGGTTTAATCTTTGTTGTCTTTTTGCGGTCGATAATCATTTCCTTGAGGGAGTTGATATCAAAAGAGTAGCCTATTGTTTAAAGAGGATAACATTAATTATAAGTGAATTATGCATTAAACAGTTACCTTCATATTCAGAAGCTGATTCAGGAATTGGCATTTGCAGTTGCTCCAAAACTAATCTTTGGTTTGATATTACAGGTAGTCCCATAGGCGGCAAAATTCTATTAACAGAATGCAGACAACTCAGAGGCGTATTTAGGGGGGGCTGAGGGGGCTTGAGCACCCCCTCAGGGCTGGGCTCAGAAAAAATTACTAAAGTCCTGGACTCTTGCATCACTACCAAGCCTCTTAACAAAGTTATCTAGCCCCCTGGTCATGATTTCAGCAGTTTCCAGTGCTTTAAGGAGCAATCAGAAGTACCAGTAACATGCTTGAAATGATCTCGGCCCCACCCGTAATTGACGAAAATGCAGGAAAAGGCCGTTTTACCGCCGTAAAAGTGGGTGTGGCCAAAAATCGTGGCGCGCTTCGCGCGCCCTCAGCACCCCCCTCCTTCAATTTCTAGATACGCCCCTGCAACTAGGTTCAGAATCACTGGGGAAATTGCGAACAGCCATCATTTATTTTCTGCTACAAGTAGAGGGTGTAACAGAGAAGTTTTTTAATTAATCAAATCTCAATCAGATGAATATTATTACAATTATCAGACATGATATCAAATATAGCACATGATGGACACATGCATCATTAGTATCTCCTGTTGTTACTGGAGACAGACCACCTCCTATTAGTTCCTTTACTCTAATGTTAGTTACTAATACTACACTGCAGTAATGTTTGGAGGTGATACTGTTAATGGAGCCAGTAACAAACTGTATATTATAAATTTCACTAAGACATCAGTGGTGAGTTAATACTGTAGGATGGGTTTGACTGTGAAATTCTTTTGATTGTAAAATGTGGCTCTTTATTAAATTGCAACTGAAGGATTGAATCATAATTTGTCAAAATTGCATTGGTGAGCTTAATTGACGTGCAATAATTATATTGAATCATTTTATTAGATTGATTCTATTATTCTTTCAGGATACATTAGAAGTACCTAATCCTGGAGGATCAGTACAATGGTCAAAGGGAAGAGTGGCTCATTCCAGTGTTTTGATCACCACTAGTTTAGGAAATTAGGACCGTACTTACTAGTGGTGGGTGGATATGATGTCTATGATGTGTGTTTACTGGACATTAACAAAAGAAAATGGAAAGAAATGGTAAGTATTATTATGATGCTTGATAAAAAACAGAGCGATTAACTAAATTTTTAACTCATGAAGTTTGTAATGCAAATGTACATATTATGATATTCAGTGGAAACTACAGATAAATAATACTGTTATTCAGAATGTGTGTATGTGTCTGTTTTTAGCATAAATATGATATAGCAGAAAATTTTTTGTGACCCAAAAAAATTGTGGATTTGTTAAAAATCAATTTTGTGGCTTTGATTTTATGATTTTCTACTTGACTTTCTGTAAATTAAAAAAACCAAAATCCACAAAAATTTTTGGGAAATAGAATTTTTTATTATACACGAATTGTTTGCTTCTTTTTGCATTTTGTGTTTGTTACATAAACATGTGTGAATATACATACATGTGTCTGTCTGTGTGCGTGTGTAAAGTTGGATATACAATTGATAATATACTGGAATTGAAAGAAATTCTATTTTAAATCACTCTAATAGGATTCCCTTCCATTACCAGGCCATGTAGCTATTTTTATTGTGGTTTTGCAATGTTTATACAAGCAGTTCATACAGCCGATTACAAATTAATTCTAAATTAATAAAAATTATCAACCCGCCTATGTAATGTACAGTATGTATATGTATTTGTGTGTTATGTGCACATGTTGTATGTATGTGTGTACTAACAAACACGCATTACGTGTACGTTATGGATAAACTATAGGGTTACTGTATATGCCATATAGGGATTTTATTTTGTTGGTATAAAATTTTGCGAATTTGTCAAGATTTGCCATTTGTTGGTATGAATTTTGGCAAACCTACCTTCTGCAGCCATTTTTCCTACTGTGCCAAACCTCTTTTGTGGAATTTAATTTTGCAAATTTAATGAAAATGCGAAATTCGCGAAATTTATTTTTAGTACAACCCCTATACAGTATACATGCACATGAGGATGCTACATGTAGTTGATTGGAAGCCCTAGCCTCCTATTCAACTAACATTTGAGTGTATATGTCCAGTAACATGAAACAGCTGTAATCTATCTGGTTTGTACTTTAGTGTGAGGGTGCATGAAAGGCATTGTGAGTAAACATTATAACACCCCGCTAGAGATGCATCACATTTGTACGACTGACCCTGAGGGCTGCAGGCAAATGTAATGTATCCCGCAGTGAGAGGGTGTTATTTACATACTTGTGTGGTAATGAGTGGTCATATCAAAAGCACGTGCCAATGTGTGTACTCAGTAGTAGTGGTGGGCGATGCTGGCCAAAATCGAGTCAATCTGATACCAATTAATATCAGCCCATATTGGGACTACTGTTTTCATTTATGTTTTTATGCACATGTATTCATATGTGTATATTATACAGCACTGGTCAGCAATAAGTCGACACATTTTGCGTTTAAGTTGCGTTTGAGTTTGCTACCCATATAGAAATTTCAAGGTTGTTACAACGGGGTCACAACCTTGCATATACATGTAGTTGTAGCAACCTAGTAACAACCTTGTATAAAAGTGCTGAAGTTGTGACTAACATGCAGGAAACATAACAGCCTTGGGACAAGGTTGGTGGAAAGTTGACAGGAAACTGAGGTTTCATTAAGTGCGCCCCACAATGATTTTGAAGCTATTGCTACCATATATAAAGGGATCATTGACCAACACTTATACAAGTCAATAAAGACAACATTGATACACATCCACATCTTTATACAATAGCTACATGTGTCATGAATACATTACAAGTATCTATAGAAATCATTTGAAATTATAAGGGATTAGGATGTCAGTAATAATAATATGTTGATAGTCTTTCAGATTGTAGTTATTCTATTAAATTCATTTTACATTGTGAGAAGGTTGTCACAAGCCAAAAAATGTGCCAAATTCAAGGTTTTTACAAGGTTGTGATATTTAGTGACAACCTAATGACAACCAACTTGTTACAAGGTTGCCACGATCATGCTACAACCTTGGTTTTTCTATATGGGTATAGTTATGAACTAACATTATCCATGCTCAAATGTTACCACAATCTCTGGTAAATGTAACTTGTATATATTCAAACATAATGTGGTTGCTTATCTGTGTATTATTGCTTTCACCAAACTAGTTTAGTACAGTTCAGCGATCGTTCTTTTGTCAACTTATTGCTGACCAGTGC